TATTGACAATATTGAGCTGAAGCTTGACTTTGCAAATTTAAAATCGCAAATCAAATCGCAATCGCAATATCTGTCAAAAAAATCGCAATTTGATATTTTCCCCCAAATCGCACAGCCCTACAATAAATAAATAACTACATTATTATAAACATTATATGTAATTATTAATCTTATATAAATGTATATACATAATATACATTACTATAAATAAACAAATATATATTATTATAAATTATAGATACTGTTATATACATTTATTATTATATTTTAACAATAGTAATACACTAAATACTATAATCATAATAATCATATAATTTTATAATATAATCATCATATAATTACCAGATCTATAGCCAGACAATGACTAGTGTGACAGTTTAAAACTGACAAAAGTGAAATTCCTGTCCAAATCATCTGATGTCATTCTCATTTAGTACACACGGCCATGTTCTTGTCATCTGTGGGACAAAGGCCTGCATGAGTGTGTTCTCTCACCAGCTCATCCCGGTCCTGACATGCGTACACCTCTTTGAGCTGCGGATCAGAGCTGGCCCGTTGACTCCTGTCCCTGGACCTGCTGGCCGCTCCGGCAACCTTCTTCTTAATACTGCCATCTGATTTAACACACAAACACACCTAATTTACAACTTAAACTGGAGAGGTACATAGCAGACCTGCACATAAACAGCACAAACCAACCATATCCTGTAACACAGGGGGCTGTGGATAATTATCAACAACAACAAAAAAAAGCATGTATATGCATGCATACTTTAAAAACTGTCTGGGAACAGCTGACCTACTGCATAGTACAGACAGTATGTGAATTGCGATGGAGCCTCTAAAATATTAAATTAAAAATGAAAAGTTAGACAACTAAGACGTAGGCTGTCCTTGTATTTGCTCAAACATGATTTGTGTACTGCACTGTAAGGTGCTTTGGTAAGTAAGTGTCTGGTAAGAATGCAGTGCAAACTGAAAGCAAGCCAGAAGGAAAAGAAAGAAAGAATCAAGGTCAGAGAACAAACAAATGAAAGCATCAACGTTAAGAAACAAAATAATAAACAAACAAAAAACTAATCAAACAAATAAAAGAATGAAGGAAAAGAAAACAAAAGGACAATTAAAAGAAAGAATGAAACTAAATAATAAACAAAAGGCTATCATAAAAACAAACAAACAAATGAAAGATCCAACAAAAGACAGAAGAATTGAGTGATTAAACAAAAAGAGCAAACAAAGAAAACAGCAAATGAATAAAAAAAACAGAACAAACAAAAGAGAAAGAAAAAAATCAAAAATCAAAAACAAACAAGAGTGACAAAACTATAAAATGAAAGAAAAAAGAACAAAAGACAGAAAAAACAAACAAAATTATTGAAAAAAGACAACAAAAAAAAGAGAAAGAGAACAACAACAAAGGAAAATCAAAAATTAATGAATCTTTAATGTGTTATTTTCAACTATAATTTAAGACTAATCAATCGTAATCTTCCCCACTGCATAGTACAGATAGTGGGATGCACAGCCTTTAAAATATGCAATGAATATGGATAAAAAGATCTGATATTATGCAACAATGAGTCTTACATTAAAATACTGCCAACAAATCTACGTTAATGCGACGTGTATAATCAGTGTCTAATCACATGTACTGACTCTTACTCTTAGGCAGTATGCTAGGAATGCTATCATAGCCGCCGAAGGTGTCCGCTCTGCGTGGCAGCAAACTCAAGGATGGACTCTGGTTCCCCTCAGTCTGTGGAGATGCTTCCCGAGCTCCAGATGCAAGGAGGTTCTGCAGGTTCTCCACTACAGAAACACAGAGATATACTTCAATATCTACATTTAGCGCTCAAATAATCTAGTTTGCTACCAGGTGCAAGATTACATCATGACGCCAATGCTTAAGACAATTAACACAAACTAACTGATTCATCAGGCCATCAACCTGACATGTTACCTTCAGTAATGGCTCCTTTGAGCAGCTGCTCCCCCTGCTGGAGTTCCACGGCATCGCCCCGCAGCAGCAGACGGGAGCGAGAGCTGGCATCCTCTAAACCGGCCACAGATTCAGCCAGCTCTGCAAACAACTGCAGCTTCTCTGTGAGGCTCTGGACAATCTGAGTGTCCTTCAACGTCAGGCGATCTACAGAAAAGAGTCGTAGATGGAGTTTGTTTGTTTGTTTGTTTAACGCCATTACAGCTTCTAAGGCTATTTTCATGGCGAGAAATATTATGGCTGAATTTTATCATGTTTTTATAATTCCTTTTTGCTAAAAACTCCACAACTGTATTTGGCTTAACTTGGTTAAAAATGTCTTCAAAAGAGTTGTTGTAGATGGAGTAAAATATGTTAAAGAGACAAAATTATTGATAGTATTTACAATTTTTCAACAAAAGAACATTATAAATGTAACAGCAAACCATAATGCAAGAAACAATATTTTTGTGGAAAATGTGATTTTATTACAGGATTTTTTTTATGAATTTGTCAAAAGAACAGCATTAACTAAAAATCATTTTTTTTTAACTTTTTTTTATAACTAATTTATATAGTTTTTTTTAATAACTAATTTATATTGTTACTTTTGATCAATTTAATGCATCCCTGCTGAATACAAATATTTCTTATAAAATATAACTAAATTACATCAAGTATAAATTACACATTTTATAACTAACACACGACATATGACACATAACACACAAATATACACACATATATTTATAATAGTTCATATGACTACATATTTTTATAATATATTTATATTATTATAATTAGTACTCAAACATTTAGTGTGTGAGTATATTATATATATATATATATATATATACATATATATATATATATACACACATATATATATACACACACACAATATA